TTATGGGACGCTTCCCATAATGACGTCACGTGTGGCGTCACGTGACGTCGCACGCAATCAGCATTGACAATATTACCGCTAAATGTAGCGGGGAAATATTTCCCCTAAATTTGGTGGAAAAAATATACGTGAGAAATTTACCCTCGTGACAACACGTGTGACGTCGCACGTGACGTCACGTGTGAGGTAACGAGCGTAAAACATTCCCGCTAAGTTTAGCAGAAAATTTTCCACGCTAAGTTTAGCGGGGAAGCAAGAGACGCATACCCTCCCCTCCGTACCCTCCCCTTCTCCTCAAGAGCTGCGCTCTAATTCGGCGTAAGAGAAAATTGTAAACATTTTTAATTTTTTGTTACCTCTTTTTTTTGCTTCATTACGTGGTCAGTGTTTAGCGTTTCCCAAGGGTCATGCTAACTCATTCCCTAAGCATCCGCCAATGGTTCTTCCTTTAATAGGGAGTTTTAGTAGACCGTATTTCCCCCCCCCCCCCCCCCCCCCCCCCCGCTAGCACCCCGCTACAAAGAAACCGCCACTGCGCCTGCGTGCCCATGGCCTTGACTGTAGAGTTCCGGGTAGCGGAGGGGTTTAGCGGAGGGGGGAAACACGGTCTACTAAAACTCGCTAATAAGTAATTTTCGTAGATCGTTTTCGCCGTCCCGCAAGGCCCTCCGCAACCCGCTACGATAGCGGGAACTCAACAGTCAAGGCTATCGGCGCGCAGGCGCAGTAGCAACTTCTTCGTTGCGGAACGCTTAGCGGAGGGCGCAACGCGGTCTACGAAAACTCCCTAGTATCTTCCGGCGCAGGAAGACCCGCGTTGCAGGAAGACTCGCGTTGGCTTGCTGCTTCTTGCGCCACATTTCGGCCAGCCTAGCTGGGCACTGCTTTTCACCGCCATCAGCTTTTCGCTCTAATGTAAGCGCTAATGCCAACGCAGTAAAAACGTTTGCTCCATCCATCCGTCCATATGGCTTCACGCCCGCTTTATACACGTCACACGGAAGTTATAACAGTGGTAGAGACCTAATTTTACGTGCATTTTTACTCTTGATAAATAAAGCAACACGTCACAGCTTTGAAAACACCCCCGTGTTTGCCACCTTGCTGATCAGTTTGCAGAATACGTTTTGAGAAAGACGAGTCTCAAGATCTTTCGGATTTGAATGATGAGAATGTACAGTATTACATTGTTTAGGAAAAAGCGTTGGTGTAAAAGTTTTCACGTGACGACATATGGTTGCCCAATAGGTACGGTGCTCACAAATGTTATACGGAACGCGCGAACTGTGTCTCGTGGGTGCGTTATCTTGGTGGCGTCCGAAGAACTGTTTCATGACGTAGCGCTCAATGAAACCACCCCAACAGGGAGGGTCGCTAACTCAAGGCCTAATTCACGGCTCGATTGGGACGATCCAACGATTTTGCTTGCCGGACGATTTACGCTGTTGGCCATCCTGAAATAAATTTCCCACTGATTCAGCGTTTAGCGTTTTGCGTATTGGTGAGAGTAACAACCGGGTATTTGACAGGGCGACCAAAACTTTCCGTGGGGATTAGAGCGCCGTTTTTGTTCCTAAGCATTTGTCTTCTTTTAGATGAATTAACATGGGCCTCTAAATGAAGTTTGTCTCCTGGCAGATTACCTGGAGACGTAACTATACTCTTCGTCAATCACAGCGGCTTTTTCAACTAAAACCCTAGACATCACGGTGAAATGAACTGGTGTTCCTTATATTTCCGTCAAGCCAAAACATCGAAGCTTTTCCTTTGCCCATGCATATAAAAGGTAAATGATGGACCTGTAAGCATGTGCCGGCACACTCTCAGAAAAAAAGGGTGTATCTGGGTGTATCGCGCACCCTTACACCCCCTTCGACTGGAGACACCCGGCGAGCGTAATCGCACTCCCATCACGCGAAACCTCCTCTCCCAAAGGAATCGGCGGGCGAGGCGAGGGTGTTGAAAGGTGCACCATTACACCCCCCCCCCCCTTTCCTTTTTCAAAAAGGGGAGAGGGAGTGCTATCAGGAGAGCGCAAGAAAACAAACAAAATGCGCGCGGTAATAGAGTAGTGCGCGTGTCCTGATTAGCAGTCACTGGTTACACGTCATCCGACTGACAACCTATCGCGATAGCGATCGCGTTCCGCGCGTTATCTGGCCTTAGTGTTGCTAGGAGACTTGACCTCCTCACCTCCTGCATTCCATCTCGGCGTGCTTCGGCGGCCATACTTTTGCTTCGGCTGGCGGGTGACATCGCCTTTGTTCATCCGCGCTACTTTGAATTGCGTGTTTTTTTAGAAGGTGGTTGGACAAAGCGGATCGTGTTCACGAAGCGATGCTTGGCACGTAGCTGCAGTCACAAACCAAGATGTGCCCGCCCGATAAAGGTAAGTTTGCCGTTTACATGCACTCGTTGGATGCTGCGTTTTGCGAGGCACGGGGCCTGCTAGCTGGGGACGTGCTTTCCTTTTTCTCCTGTTTATGTCAGAGTTTCTTCGCTTTTGTATTTGTGGCATGTGTGCGCGGTGGCGGTGCCCGGTTCTCTGAGTGTACAAACGAGCACGACATCGCAGCTTCGAGACATTGCAGAGCAACATGCTCGCGCTTGTTACCGGCTTCGCTCGCACGTATGGTTATGCAATGCGATTTTCAGTGGGGATGATGGAACTAAGGCGGCGCTTCGGGACAAGGCAGTTAGAGTTCTTTTATAGGTTCCCTACGGGAGTCAGAGTTGCGCGTCCATCTTTGTAGCGCCGTCTTTCCTGCACGGCATGTTGATCCAGCTCCTCACGCGACTTTTGGACCTCTTAGCGAATATGTGCTGCCACCTCGACACGAGGCTAAGTGTCGAGAAAACAACGCGCGCGCCAGGCCTCTCCCACCCGTTCCACACCCAAAACGTCAGCTACATCCTGTTCAACCATTGAGGCGCTGTGACCTAGATACTGCTCCCCCAAACTCGCCTTTGTCCCCATCGTGCGTAATCTTCCGCCCCCGAGGTCGACACAACAAAACCATATTCCCTCCCTGCTCGGAAGAGGGAGAGGGTACTGGAACCATTGACTCTCGAACCGACGAGGCGCGCGGCGCGCTCAAAAGCAGAGGTGCGTACGGCGGGGCGCGTGCAACGTTGCTTTCTTGCACGGTACGTGGTCGGATCTTGGCAAATAGCGGCGCGGCGGCACGTAGAAAATAGACGCGCAACTCTGGCTCCCGTAGGGAGCCTATACACGAACTGGTACTCTAGAGCAGCATTGAGATTATAGGCTCCAGCCAGAGTTGCGCGTCTGGTTTCCCCGTGCCGCCGCACCGCTGTTTGCCACTATCCGATCACGTGAGGAGCAGACTCCAAATGCCGTGCAAGAAAGCCACCGGTACGGCGGCTTCGCCGACGGTGCAAGCGCCTCGGTGTGCATACCCCCGCTTTTGCCTCCTCCTGTCCTGCTTTCCAGGAAATGAGGAGGTAGAGCGCGGCGGCCGCTATTCCCCGAATTCAGTCACGTGAGGAGCAGACTTGAAGTGCGGGAAAGCCGGAGCTACTGGGATGAACGCGCAACTCCTGACTCCCGTAGGCTGCCTCTGCAGGAACTCTAGGGCAGCATGGAGTTCCTGCGTAGTCCCCCTACGGTAGCCAGAGCAGGGTCGCCAGGTATTTGCAGATTAACCCGTCAAAATTTCCTGATATTGTGCCCAAGAATAGCCAAATGTCGGGCTATAAAAATAGCCCAAGAGATAAAATTTCATACAAGGTATTTACATCTCTTTGGAACACGGGTAACATGATACATGACATAAGACAATTATTTACAGAAGAAGGCAATAAGAGGATAAAGCGTCCCCATGTATATTTTAGTGCAGCGAAAGAAGAGGGTTCTCAAACATCTGTTAAGCTGCCCCCACTCCTCTTCCTGCCTCCTTCTGGAAACACGTGCCTCCACCCCTGCCTGCGGTATTAAATCGTGCCAAAAAACTTCAGAAAAACGATATTGCACCTCCGCAACCAACACCAATGAGGGTCCAGATATTGTATTTGCACGCTTGTGATTTGGATATTTTCCTTTCCTAACCTCTTGAGTTGATTGTTTTTCTCTACCCGGCGCAGAAGTATCATGTTTAAGGCTTTGAAAATTGTTGAATATCGGGTATGAAATAGCTTAATAGCCAACCACCAGATTTTCCTGCCTATTACAAAACTGAGTAGCCCGATTGGGCTATTTATAGCCCAACCTGCCAACCCTAAACCAGAGCTGCGCGTTCACCCCGGAGCACCGGTTTTCCTGCAGGGGACGAAATTCTGCTCCTCATCTCACTGGATTGGGCGAATAGTAACGTGCTCCTTCTCCTTTCCTGAAAAACAGGAAAGGAGGAGGAGACAAAAGCAGGGGAACGTACGCTGAGGTGATTGCAACGTCGGCGAAACGGCCGTATCGGCGGCTTTCCTGCACAGTATTTGGATTTTGCTCCTTACATGATCGGATCTAGGCGAATAGCGGCGTGTCAGCGTGTGGATAACAGACGCGCAACTCTGACTCCCATAGAGAGCCTATGCAGGAACTCTAGGACAGCATTCACCAGCTTCGGTGTCTGTGGTGCTCAGTTTGGCGTTACTTTGAGAGCTCTATTTGGAAACATGTGCAGTGGCTGTACCCGCGGATGCTAGCTTTTGCGAAGCTCGAGTTTGGCTAACTTTGAATTGTCATGTTGGTACCCTACTTGTCAGACTCTTTCTTGGGCAAAATTTGTAAAATTAGACTACACGTTTTATTGCATGTTTCATTTGTGAAGCATACACTTTGTCACACTACAGCAACAATTAGGTGTCGCAGTGTTAATGGTTCAAAAACGCGAGTGTATCCTTGTGCTTGTAGTATGCAAGTCATCTCACGCACCTGTGAAGTGTGAGATAACATAAGATGCTTAATTAGATCACGTGTACTAATGACTTGAATCTCTAACGCACAGGAGTGAAGCTCTGCTGCTAGCACAGATGTCCCCATAGTCTCGAGGCACCGTCTGGCAAGGTAAGCGATCAACTAGCCTGCTGATTTTTGTTTTCTTGTCAGATTGTTAAGCATATGTTGTGAAATTGGGCTAAGTGCTTGCGTAGATCACGTGTACTAATGACTTTCATCTCTACTGCACAGGCGAGAGGCTCTGCTTGTAGCACAGTCGCTACCATAGTCCCGATGCCCTTTCTGGGTAGGTAAGCAACCAGCTATCCTGCACTGGTTTTTTTTTTAGTTTGTAATGCATGTATTGTGAAATTGGGCTTGGTGCCTAGCTAGGTCACGTTTACTAATGACTATTTGCACCTAGCAGTGATGCCATCATTGTCCCGAGGCACGTTCTGGCAAGGTAAGCAATTCACTACCCTGCGTACCCTATTTTCTTTTTTTCTTCTTCTTTACTTGTCAGGCTGCTAAGTAAAATTGTGTGACTAGGTTAGGTGCTTGTCTAGATCACGTATACTAATGAGTAATCTAATGCACAGGCGATAGGCTCTGCTTGTAGCACAGACGCTACCATAGTCCCGAGGCTCTGGCTGGCAAGGTAAGCAATCAACTATGCTGCAGACTGTTTTTCTTTTTCTCAGGTTGTTAGCGTATCTTGTGAAACTAGGCTTGGTGCTTGGATAGATCATGTTTGCTAATGCCTATTCTCTGATGCACAGATCAGAAGCTCTGCACCTAGCAGATGCCGCCATGGTCCCGAGGCACCGTCTGGCAAGGTGAGCAATTGACTATCCGGTGGACACTGTTTTCTTTTCTTCTTTACTTGTCAGACTGCTAGGCTTATATTGTGTGATTGGGCTTGGTACTTGGTTAGATTACATGTACTGATGACTCGAATCTCTGATGCACAGGCTGCCCTCACAGCAAAACAGGTTGAATTTTTGCAGACGCCTTTCGTCAAGCATGGTACGCAGTCTTTACCATTTTGTAACTATTTGATTCAACGGGGCGACAAGTTTTCTTTAGCGGCATTAATGATAAATAAAGAGTTTGAAGTAAGAACAGCATATAAAATGGCACAAAAAAGGAGCAAAGCATAGATACCATTCACATAAGCGTACCAACCGGAGGTGGGGGGGGGGGGGGCAAGGGGGGCGCAAGGCATGTGTTGTCCCCCCCCCCCCCCCCTGCCACCCCCCCTAAAACAGCCGCCACAGGGCAGGTCAAAGACTGGCCGGCGGCGCCCAAGGGATACCAAGAGCACTCCCCCCCCCCCCCCCCCCCCCTTCCTGACTCGAAAACAAGTTGGAACGCCGCTGACCGTACCTATTCCCCACGAACTACACCCTCTACAATACAGATACAACTACACATTGTATCTGTATTCCTGAATACTTTTTCACCAGTTTCGCAGAAGTGTCTCGGGGATATAGCATTGCATAAAAGACAATGTATCTCAGTATCTGTATTTTTGGCCTTAAAGCAGATGTATCTCAGTATTCCCGAATACTTTTTGGAGTGTGTCTGCCCAGCACTGGTTTATGGCACATTAATTTATTCTATCATTCTTATTATTTTCCAGGTACTTCGGGCCAATCGACCCATCTGAAGTGCGATACAAAAGTGCAACCAGTGGCATTGCACCGAAGTTGCGAACTCTTCAAGTGCTTTGACATCTGTAAGTGTACCGTCCTTCAATTATACTCCGTGTCACTAGTTGTGTGTAGTGCAGGTGAATGCAACGCCATGCGAAGAGAGAAACGGCGAGCACTAAGAAGGCATATGGGAGGGGAGGGCAGGGCTGGGGGAGAGGGGGAAAGCACTACGAATGTTATATACGAGAGGAGGTTGCTCTCCTCACCCGCCTTTCTAGCGCTTGCCCTTTCCCCTCTTCGGGCATTGCCTTAGCCTGTGCTGCGCGCAAGTAGTGGCTCGAAATATATTCACCATTGTACAGATTATGATACACTGGCAGCTAATAGATAACTGGGTAAAACTAATCTGCTCAGTGCTTGAAGACGCAGCTCGCGACTTGCTTGAACACGGCCCACAGGAAACCAGCTGCAAGCTCCCGTTCTCATAACGAGCATTACAAATGGCATGCATTATAATATGTCGCTAATAGACCGATCTCACCAGCTAGTTTGAGTACGCCACCGCTGCCGATATGCATCGTGGGAGCTGTAGTCTTTCTACACGCGCGACAACCATGCTGGAGGTTTGCGCGAGCAGACCATGAGGCAGCATGAGCTGTCGCGTGAACTGGAGTCTGCCTCCTACGAACTACAGTTATGGCGGCGTCACGCATGCGTGGAACGCTTGGTGGGATCGGTCTATTCATTTACGCTGGAAACGTAGCTATGCTCTTATAACATATCCACATAGTTAATGTAGTTTCGTTTTTATTTTTCAGGTGTTTAGTCTCTATTTTTCCTTCCCGTCTTTTTTTAGTATTTAGCACCTGCACGACAATTCCGCTGGTAGGCTGGAACCACGAGCTCTTTGCCCAAGGATGCACTTCAACTGCATGACCTCTCGCTTGTCAGAAGCAACCACCAAAGATAAATTCATGAGCTCTGGATTCTCGCCCTCAGAAAATATCACCATTAAAATACAAGTATTCGCTCAGACTGGTGCTATCAGAAATTCTCAGAAAAGCAAAAGGCATTCTTTCGAGACATGTTCAGCTTGAATATATCCTGAGTGAAATAAGCAACGGCAACAACAGTGTACTTGTTCTCTTGTCCTCTTCCAAAATGCCAGTATGTTGGCGGCAGTACCACTTTAATTCTTGTGATTGCATCAGGAAAGGGATAAGGGGAGCACTACAAATGAATCATGGCTAGAAATGTCACTGTCAAGATTGCAAGTTACAAAATGTGGAGAGCGCAAGGTCCCTTTAACAAATTTCTTGACCCCCATGCCTTACAGAAGCCCTCGATCTTTTGGGGGTGGGCTATCTGGCCTCTACACTCAAATGTGTTTGAGAGCACTGTTTTAGATGGTCCAAATTTTTTTTAAAGGAAGCTTGCATTAGGACACCTCTGATGTGGGCATTCGTTTATCTGGTTAGGCGCCACTGAGTACAAGGTTGCTTATGGCATTTTTCGGCTAATTGCGCATTTTATTAGTAAAAAATAAACACAGTTGCAATAAGAAACAGGCTGGCATTGTTAAAAACCGCCAAAATCAGTTGTTTAAGTATTTTGAAAACACATGCTTTTTATCTGTGTTTTTGGTTTTCCAGCCTTGAACCTGTATCTAAATTGGTAAAATTTCCACCCCACTATTCTTCAATGGTGTGCAAAATATTTATGAAGTTGGCTGAGTTCCTGGTTTTTGGTAATGCTCATTAAGTAAGGTGTGGGGCCTTGACAGTGTCCTATATGTATCTAATCATGGTATACAACTGGGTTTTGCTTTTCAGGAATGTCCATGGCTCTTTTTGGTGGTCAACACCCAAGGCACAAGACTAAAAGATATGACATGCAAAAAGAAGAAGAAAAGAAACAAGCGACGTTTCTGGTGCATGCATTCAATGTGTATTCTTGTAGTATATGTTTCACCCAGTGTTTATGAGCAATAAATATGAAGGAACAGATACCAATTTTCGTAGCTTATTTTTTTAAATATTGCATGATCCTGACAATGTTATGTTCGCAGGAGTGACACAAAAGCTCTCAATTGTATTTCAGATTGACAGTTAGGACGTCAAAATGATGCCAGGCCATATAATGAAATGACAATAGAATGTGGGATTGGCAGCTTAATTGTTTTCGGGTGGACAATTGGGACATGAAAATGACACAAAACACCGTCGTTTGACGGTTAAAAGCTTAGAAAAGAGCTGCAAAGACATTTCCTGTCAATTTGATGGAAAATGTTCTAGTGTTAGTTTTGTTGACTTCGCACATGTACACCTAAGGGTGGGGTTTATCGGTTCCCAGTCAGTGAGAAGGGTTTGGAAAACGGTATATAAGTACACCTAAGAATGGGGTGTAACTGCATTCCCAGTAAGTGAGAAATGGAATATCTGTGCACCTAAGAATGGGGTGTATGAGTATTCCCAGTAAGTGATAAACGGAATATATGTGCACCTAAAAGAGGGGTGTATCAGTATTCCCAGTAAGTGAGAAACGGAATATACGTACACCTAAGAATGGGGTGTATCGGTATTCCCAGTAAGTGAGAAACGGAATACACGTACACCTAAGAATGGGGTGTATCAGTATTCCCAGCAAGCGAGAAACGGAATATACGTACACCTAAAAATGGGGTGTATCAGTATTCCCAGTAAGTGAGAAACGGAATATATGTACACCCCGGGGTGGGGTGTGTCATATGCACCCGCTGAGGTGCACATGTGCACCTCAAAATGAGGTGCATGTATGCACCCCTTTTTGGGGTGTCGCATATATACCCATGGGGGTGTCGTATATGGGACAAGTCACATACACCCCACTGGGTGTAAGTACTACACCCCTTTTTTTAGAGTGCAGCGACTTCAGCGTTTGGAATCTTTAGGAATAGTAAAGCACCTTAAGCATCTGAAAAAAAAAAAAAAAAATGTGTATATTTGCAGAACATGAGATAAAAAATGGAAAGTATTGAACGAGGCTTGGTTTGCAAAATTATTAAACCTCGGCATTCCTTTTATATCTGTGTGGCGACAGTATTTAGCTTTTTTTTGTGTGTGTGTGTACCATCATCGCCCCGTGCTTGCCCTTTTACCCGACAAAGAAAAGCCAGCACTACAAACTAGCCGCTTGGGAAATGTTGCCAACACCGCCTATAGATAGAAAGCCGCAGTGCCGAATTCATTACGTCTCCTCCTGAGGGCCAGTGCGAGTCACAGATTCGGCATGAGGTCTGCGACAATGCTCAACATGGACTCGTAAATGTCCTAACTGATCCACCTAAGCGTTCACGTAGCACAAGTAGAGATCCGATCGGGCTGCAATCTTGAGGCCCGACCCGACGCGGCCCGATAGCGGCCTGACCCGAAACCGGCCCGAGTCCGATTATGGTTTCTGTACGTCAGGAAGCTTGAGCCGACCGAGAAGTACATCGGCCCGAACCTGGCCCGAGCCCTACTGTTATTTTGAACACTGGTCCGAACCGAACATGGCCCCAACCCAACTTTTAACTCGAAATACGCTTATTGTCTGGATTTCATAAAAATGCGTTACACGCAGGACAAAACAACATAAAGGCCTGGATGAACGAGCCACTATATCATTCACGAGGCTGATGGTAGATGCACGAGTTTGAGGCGAATTATTTGAGTTTTTTCTTTCTCTTCTTTTCTTGTCAGTAAACGTAGTTGTGAGTAGCGCTCTTTTCTGTCCTGTACTTCTTCTATATACCTTGTGCGCTGAATACCTCAATATGTGGTATAAGAAAA